GGACGGGGTGGGTAACAACAATGCAAAGAGATCGTTCCCGTGAAGCGTTACCCCACCTTTACTCATGGGGTGGGGGTACCACCCCCCCCCAAGGGGAGGAGGACCCCTGCCCACCCCTGCCATCGTCCCCAACCTGTGACGTTCTTGCGGAGCTCGTCGTCAGGCTCCCGCAGCGTCCGCATGAGCTCGTAGATGCCATTCTCCTCCACCAGCGCCAGCTTGTTCTCGGCGTTGTCGTAGATGAGGTTGCGCATGGCGCCCGTGGCATGGCGCTGCACCTCCTGGTTGGGGCTGTTGAACAGCTTCACCAGCTTGGGCATGGCCTGGAGGCTGCGGGCCTGGGAGGGAACGGGCCCGCTGGGGTGGGACGGAAAAAAAAAGGCTGGTGTCGGGGGCTCCTTCCATGACCTCCCCCCTTCCTGGCGTGCCCCACCATGGCAGAGGGGCTGGGGACAGCCCCTTCTCCTTCGGCTGCTGGGCGCTCACCTGCTTCTTGGCGTTGCTGTCGCTGTAGCATTTGTGCTGGAGGTAGGCAGCGCCCAGGACCTGCAGGTTGGGGTCGCTGGCTATCAGGTATTTCACTGCGGAGGGCAGGTCGATGTCATCAAACCTGGAAGCCACAAGCAGGTGAGCAAGAGCCCAAGCATCCCACAGGGATCCTTCACCTCTGCACCTCACCACATCCCACATCTTGGAGGAGAGTGGCCAACCCGTCTCCCTCCCCGCCACGCTCTTGGGCACGGGACTCCAGACCCAGCTGAATGAGCATCTTCCTACCCTCGTATCTCAGGATGTGTCCACGAGAGGAGCTCAGGCCACATGCAGGACACGCTTGGAGGTCAACCCATGCCATGGTCCATGACTATGGGGCCATTTCGTGCCCACCATCTCACCCCTCCTCCTGCACCCGTTGCAGCAAGGCAATGCCAGGCAGGAGATGGAGGGGTTTTGCCCTCAACCAGCCAAGTGACTAAGGTGGGGACGAGGACCAAGCCAGTGCCGGACCGGCCCCGTTGGCACTCACCCCCCTGACTGGTGGCTGAGCAGCGTGCCGTGCCCGTTGTACATCTCCATGGCGCGCTGGTCCTGGAGGTGGTGGCTGGACTCGGCCAGGCTGCGCACGGAGGGCGCGCGGGAGCTGTGCTCCACCATCCCCATGTACGAGCTCCCGATGCCCGCCTGCGAGGCCGCCTGGA